CCCCCCCCCCCCCCCCCACCCTGCAGCCTACAGAGAGCCGTACCTGTTTGTCACCTACTTCAACTCGCTGGACGTCATTGAGGTCCAGGGACACGCCGCTCTGGGGTGAGACGGATCCATCCCACTGTGGAGCGGGGCTGGGCCGCTCCAGGCCTCTGTGGGCCGCTCCAGGCCTCTGGGTCCGGGGGTTTCCCTGCTTCTACACACCTTGTTCAGATAAAAACGGATCTCTTCTAGAGATGGATCAGCTCTGAGCAGGACTGCTGATGTTGTGTTTAGCTAGCAGCTCCATAGCTGCCGGTCAAAGTCTGGACCCTTTTAATCAAGCTCTGATCCTAAAATGGAGACTTTGAGCTCACAAACATGCAGACTTAACCCCTGTGGGCTCTGTGGCTCCTTTCTTTAACCCAAATCCCTTTTCCTCTGCTCATTTTTAAGCTGAACTTTCACAGAATTCCTGTAGTTTTCAGGAACCGTCTCCCTCAGCAGCCTTTGTAGATCAGATTAATTCAATTAAATTTTATGTATATAGCGCCACATCACAACAACAGTCATCTCACAGCGCTTTCCAAACAGAGCAGGTCAGACCCTACTCTGAAGTTGATTACAGAAACCCAAAAATCCCCACCATGAGCAAGCACTAGGCGACACAGGCAAGGAAAAACTACACAACAGCAGCAGTCCTGTGCAGAGCTGATCCATCTTCAGAAGAGATTTTAATCTGAATCAGGTGTGTAGAAGCATGGAAACCTCTAAAACCTGCAGGACAGTGGCCCAAACAGGCCTGGACCCCCCCCCCCCCCCCCCTGCTGTAGAGAGAGTTTAGCTGTTGGACCTTCTCAGTGACCTTTCCCTGTGTTCCCTCAGCCCTGCGGTTCTGGCCCACCTGGACATCCCAAATCCCCGCTACCTGGGCCCGGCCATCTCCTCGGGGGCCATTTACCTGGCCTCGTCCTACCAGAACAAGCTGCGGGTCATCTGCTGTAAGGGCAGCCTGATCCGGGAGTCCGGAGAGCTGCAGCGAACCGGCTCCAGCCGCGGGTCAGCAGAACAAAGCGCCCGGTTCACACCGCTTTCCCCAGCACCTGGGGCCGGGCCGCTGACCCCTGCCGTGTCTTACAGGAGCCCCAGCAAGCGCTGCCCCCCCACCTACACCGAGCACATCTCCAAGCGTCTGACCTCAGGGCCCGGCAGCCACGACGGGCTGCACCGCGAGCCCAGCACCCCCCACCGCTACCGGGAGGGGCGCACCGAGTTCAGGAGGGACAAGTCCCCCGCCCGGCCGCTGGACCGCGAGAAGTCCCCCGGCAGGGTGCTGGACAGCCGCAGGGAGAGGTCACCCGGGCGGTTCGGGGACAGCGCCCGACTGCACGCCGGGTCGGTCCGGACGCAGCTGGCCCCCGTCAACAAGGTAAGACCAGCAGGGTGTCGGCAGGGCCGGCCACGCCCCCTCAAATAAATCCCCCCAAGGTGGATTATTAAATGCACAAAGTGATGCCATCTTCTCCTATTGGTCCTCCTGGACTCCAGGTCTTCAACGTCCAATGAAATGTATATTTTTTAAATGCCCTGTGGCTTCTTCTTCTGGCTCTGGGAGTGCAGACCTGCTTCTACCTGCTACCTTCTTTGGCTGCTGTCTTTGTCCTGTTGCATCTGGGAGCCTTTCTCTGCATTTTCCCCCTGAATCCTAAAAACATAAACCATGGATTTGGCGGGCTGGTGTCTAAACTCCATTGACCAGATCTCTTCCAGCCAAAAAGAAGCTGCAGGGGCTGCATCTGGTCCAGCTGGGACTGACTTGAATTTCCCCTTGGGGATCAATAAAGTATCTATCTATCTATCTATCTATCTATCTATCTATCTATCTATCTAT